TTAATATATTTTTACTGTAAATGTCATAAGTTTTAGCATAAATGGCTCGAAAACAGAAATTTAGTCTGAAGAGAGAAGAAAGGAAAAAAACAAAAGGTGTCGCGAAAGTACGCGATTTACTTCAAGATGAATGTCCAAGTGTGAAAAGTCAAATTAAGTTTACCTTTTCAAAATAATTTCTGTACACATTATAGCGGTATTAAACAAGCTACTTATTAAGCAGTTGCAAACAGAGTCATCTCATTTTATTTCTGATTTAAAAAACTCTTAGTCTAGTCTTGGTCTAACTTTTCAGCAGTCTTCATTCCCAACTAAAGACTTTTCGTATTCAGAATACTTTCTAACTATAAAGTAATTCTGGCTGTCATTTTTCCTTTTTGAGGTTTAAGTTTATAAAATTCGCAGAATGTTTTTTTTGGTCGAGTTTTTATACCTTATATTCATAATTAACAGTTAACAATTATCTTCTTTTCCATCCAATAATAGAGGAATACTAAGCAATTTTGTAGTGGTAAATTAATTACTTTGAAACTCTGAAATTACTCAACTTAAAATTAAATTAATTAAATTAAATTAAAAATTGACTTATCAACACACAATATTTATAATTAACACTTAACAGTTATCTTCTTACTCTCCTTCGTTTAACGATGGCAAAATTTTCATATATGACTTATACCAACACGCAATATTATTGCGATTTTCAGTTTCTCTTTTCTATGCTTTCTTTATAATTAAAACCAGTTTTGTGCAGAAGCATTCATCTAAACGCTAACTGAACATTTTAATAGAAAATCAATATGCGTATTTCACTGAGGATTTTGAAGTTCCTCACCAAATATCTCTAAAGAAAAAACATGAATTTCCGCAAGTATCAAGTAAACAGTGGAATATTCAAAATTAGCACTTAACAGTTATCTTAATCTCCTTCGTTTAACGATGGCAAAATTTTCAAATTAGGAATTGACTGCTTTGATATCGCGCTTAAATTGAAACCCAGGGTGAAGTATTTTTTAGCTTTAAATCGGTATTCGAGAAGGATTCGGAAGCAGTTCCATCCATTTACAATTCCTATTTCACGATCTTCTAGAGTCATTGACCATGTTCGCACTAAAAACAGCAAATCAAGAAAATTGGATATCGGAATTCCGAAATTGCAGTCATCTGGTCGTAAACGGAAATGTAATCATTATTCACTTATTGGTACAAATAAAAAAAATTCATTAATTTTGGTTGACAAGTTTTAAAAAAAAAATTATTTACCAATTTTAGTGAGAATATTTTTATTTTCATTTTTAAATTCAAGTAACTTCGTGTAAGAAAAAATACTAGAAATTGAGCATACTTGAGCATATTTTTTGTATCCAAAGTGTTCCAGGCGTTTGCCAAATTGCATTCTGAGATGTTCAAAAATATTTTCTAGTGTTTTTAAATATTACCTTTTTATTTCTATATTGGTTATTATATTTCATTTCTTTAAATTATTTCTTTTCTTCTGGAACGCAGCTAACAGTTATGCCGTGTAATAAATGATTAAATAATGAGATGATTATTGGTTTCATTCATACTAACTCTAATTTTATTTTATTATTTGCTCGTATTCAATGTTTATCCTCTGGGGTTTAGTTCCGAGTGATAAAAACGATAAAAACGATGCAAAAACGGCTAGTGATAGAAAAGAGAAAGTAAGACGAACGAATTCCAAGAAGAGTAAGCTGAGGGAAAGATCAGGTTTTGAATATCATGAAGTAAATCCATATCTGTATTCGTCCAAGGATCTAAAATTCGTTAGCGTCGCGTCTTTTAGCCGTATAAACGCACATCGATTTGTTGTCCAGGTAAAGTTAACTTGTTTATTTTGTTTTATTTTCTGTTTTGATTGTGAGCATTCAGTAAATAGTTTCATGTTACTAATTGATATGAGCATAATTTTCACTGCAGTTCTGATGTTTGGAAGTTTGCGTTTTTAAAATGTTCATTTATAATTCTTCTGATTATTTAGTGATTAGAGAGTTTCCGAAAATTTAGATTTTTAATTACAATATAATCATTTTTTCCTTGAAGCTGCAAGGATAGATGAAAGAGCTGAAAATCCTTCGAACATTAAGTTTTCTGAAGATTTATAACCTTGATATAAATAATTAACGTACTAATCATTTGCTTTTTCATCTGTTTAAATGAATGCAAATCAGTATTTACCATTGTTTCTAGTTATTAATCAGTAATTGTCTACTAAGTAATTTATCGACGAAAATTTGTCGTAAAATTAAAGAAACAAATTAATAATAATTTCTAATTGTTCCTTTAATTATTCATTTCAGCGAATGGCATCTATGAATGTCAGTTTGAAAATCATTTTGTGCACTAATTTGTATTTGTGAAGTAAAAAGTGTACTTTTCACTGTTAGTTTTCGTTGATTAATAAATGGTAAGTTTTTCAGAAGAAAATCGACAGTCTGCTTAAAATGGCTTACGATAATCAACATTTTAATATTACTGCACTGGAGTGGCCTTTTTGTCCAGCATTGAAAATGACTGCAGAAGCAAAGGCAATATTGGCAGAAGATCAAAATTTATTGAAATTAATATTTGATTTAAAAAACGACACCAAAGTTTCGCGAGCTGAATTGGAGCCTGTAATGCTTAGTCAGGTACTATTAGTTATGATACTTTGTTTGTCACTGAAAAAATGCTATTTTGTGTTAAGATAATTCAGATTCAAAACATGAGTTAGAAATTTTGTTATTGAAACTTTGTCGTTCTAGTTTTCACGATGTACTTTTCGTTCTTTCCTTTTCTTGTCTATAATATTCTGAATTATAGTGATTGGTAAGTATTGATGAAATTAATAGGCATGTTCTCAATAAAAGTTGCTTTCTAAAGCGCCGATTAAGTTTTGTTGTATAACCTCAGAACTAACTTTTTTATGCATTTAATTTTTTTCCTTGCAAATAATTGTGGTCGAAATGTTTGCGTGTCGCATCTATTTTGATGAATCGGCTACTGAGGCTAGCTTGTTCTTCTGTATTTTTTATAGCTTTACATGATGGTTTTATTTTCTCTCTTACTATACAAAACCGCTTTGTGGGCTGTTATCGGTTCTCAGCGTTTCGATTGTCTAAGAAATTGTATCTGGTCTAGGTAGGGCATAGTAATTGCTAAGTACGTATTATAAGCCTTCTCCTGCTTCAGAATCTCCCTCTACTGGATATGGTTATGGTTTCGTTAGCATGTTGGCCTATTACTATTTTTTTAATTGCGTATTTAGCACTCTATTTTTTAAAAATTGTGGTTAGGGTACTAATACTTTGTTAAAAGTGCAATACTTTCATTTCTATGTTGTTTTTCTTTTAAAGCAATCTTGTGGCACAATGAATATTCATATGTTGGGGCATGCGACGGCAACTATAGGAATGACACGGGGTGGTCGAGAAGGTATAAACGCCTTATTAAATGATGATTTTATTACAACTCGACATGTTTCCGAGCTACTTCAAGTATTTATTCGATGCAATATATCGTTCACCACACTATCTGCCATCAAATTTTATTACAGTGTAAGCATGTCTGCTCATTTCTTTTGGGTTAAATGCTTTATAAGGAATAGATTTTTTAATTTAAATATATAAATTCAAATAAATTAGGAGTCAAATTAAGTGATTTACGAAGGATTTGTATTAAGGATGTGAAAATAAGTTATACAAGTTCCAATTTAAATAGCATTCAGTTGCCTGGAATCAGAACAATGAAGAACTCAAATTCACCTTGAATTTTGTTGCAAACGAGTTTAATGAAATAGCGTTTTTAGCTTAATCTTGCGAAAAATATTTATCGAGCAGTACGTTATGGTCATCGTCAGCTAGCTGCAAACATGATTGAAAGTTTTGCCAAATACAATTTTAACGATTTACACATTTTAACGTTAAAGAATAATTCGGAACCATTAAAGGTTTAATTTTATTTAGTAGAGATGAATCTTTTAGCTTACAGATATTTAACTTGTATAATTTTTGAATTTTAATTTCTATTTTTTTTCAGGAAACATTTTACTTTAAAGATTTAACAAGAATATTGATTGTTTCTGCTATGAATTTGTGTTTTTCAATACAGTTCTGTAATATCTTTAGAAATTCACGCCAATTTCGGTCACCAAAAAGGGACGACTCAATCGAAATATTACTCCATTGCATACAGTTGCAATAAATCCTAATGTTAATTATCTGGAAGCACTTCTAGCAACTGGACAACAGTGTGAACCTGATTTAGATGGGTGGTAAGTTTTTGATTAAAAACAATTGAAAAATAAGAGATCTTCATTAAAATGTTTTTGCTTATTTAATTAAGCAGTAAATAGAAAAAGTAGATAGCATGGCAGAAATTACTAATGCATCTTATTTAATGATTAATGTAGCGGAATTATTTGATCATTAAGAGTTTCTTGTTGAGTATGAGAAAGCCGGTTAATACCTTTGATACAGTTCTCTTAATGACGTCAGCATGAATGAGTTCATACTAAAAGTGGAAGCTGATGAACTTAAAGTTAATTTTATCGTTTAACGAAGTTCTGATGAGGGAAACATCATTAAACGAGAAAAAAAGAAAAATTGCTTATTTTCAGGGATTTGATTCATTATGCTGCAGTATGTGAAGGTCCTGGGCCATTAAAGCATTTATTGAGTTTGGGTGTTTCTCCTCTCGGGCTAACTAAAAAAAAACAGTTGCCGTTACACTGCGCTGTTCGAGCAGGCCGATTGGAAAATGTTGAAGTATTAACTTTAGTGGATTTAGTGCTCTTTCTAAAATGCAATTTGGAAAACGATCAATTCAATTTTCTGAAATTGAGATTTTACCTCGAAAAATTTGATTCGTTCTAGTCACTGTTTTTTAAAACAATTATTCAGATTCTGATTGAAGCAATGCAAAATCTCGATGAATCGATACATTCGGAGCAAATGCAGAGTGGAAGGATGCGATCACAGAAACATTCTCAGTCAGCATTACAAGAAATAAAAGAACAAAAACAATCCATCAATAGAAATGTGTCATCTTTTCTAAATGCAAAAATTTCATCAGGGAAGACAGCACTGTACATAGCTGCTTCTAGAGGCCATGTGAAAGTTAGTTTTTTTTGTTTTGGAATCCACCAAAATTTTATTGAAGTCTTTCAAATTTTCACTCTTTGATGACTCAAATATGTTGAAAGAAAATAAAACATGAAATTTTAAAATTAAGTTTACACATAGTTTATCTTATATGTAAAATTTATCATTTCATAATCTAAATTTCACTTGGTTCAAGCAGTAATGAAAATTTTGTTTACTCTTAAAATAGCTGTTTAGGATCGGAATTGTTTTCACTGTATTTTTTTATTAAATAATTTAGATTCTGAATGAAGCAATAAAAAGTAAAGACAAGTTTTTAAGGCTTATATTTTTTTCTAGATCGTAGCTAATTTTTTTTTCTGTATATTTTTTTCTAAATCGTTGCATAAAAAAGCTTATAACCTACGTATCTTAGATTGTTGAAGCACTTCTAAATGTTTCGACTGTAATGGTAGATATTCAGACCTCAGCTTCCAAGAAAAAACTTACACCGTTGATGATTGCATGTGCTAGAGGATATCTGTTAGTAATTTAATTATTATGTTTGAGGCTTCTATCCCACTAAATAGCGATTTTTCGAAAAAATATCACTACTTCTACTTATTTGATTGACTTAAGAGGAAGGAGATATCATATTGTTGCTTATTAATATTAAATTTAAGGGAATGGCTTATTTTTAGTACTAATTACCCAATCTTATAAGATGTAACTGAATTATCCAATGTCAAATAATAACTTCATTATTTATTATATCTTATTGTCTGATTAATGCGTTTCCTACTATTTTTGTCCTTAAGAAACAAGTTGATTACAGTGAAGTCGCCAATGTATTAATAGACATGGGTATGGCTGCTGTCGAAAAAGGTGATAAATTAAAGAGGACTTCGCTTAGTCATGCTGTCATAAATGGACAGGTGCACGTTGTTGCAATGTTGTTACGTCGAGGTTGCAATCCTCTTCTTGGAGATTCTTCAGGGAATGCTCCTGCTCATTATGCTGCTGCTTTTGGATGGTAGGTATTATACTATATTTAGTTCAAAATGGCTTCATGGTAGGATCTGAATATTGAAGACACTTGAGAGTTGCAAATGACGAAAATGAAGTTGATGAAACTGTACTTTTTTCGGCATATTTGATTATAAAGAGCTGTGTGATAGCTACCATTCAATTTCTATGAAAATTAGTAACTCATGCAATGAATTATTTTATATGTAAGAATAATTAAACTTACTTGCTTAGTTTATAGGAAACTTGTATAACACAAAATTTCGCTCTAGTTCTATAGTTTCTGCCTTTTTTCTCTCTGCATATATTGTTATCATGATAACAACAGTTTTGTCTTAGTAAATTTGGTCTTCGACTTAGTAAATTTGGTCTTCAACAAAATAATTTAGAGTGACACACAAAAATCAAAAATCCCATGCCAGAAATCAGATATTCTATTACTCTATCATTTTATCAGTGAAGATATATCGTTTGCTTTGCTTACTGTTTACGCTGTTTCAAATTCTATATGAAAGAAATATCAGAAATAAAAGGTAATGTGCTTAGATATTTTTTGAGGTGTAATTCGCTACATACCATTTTACAATATTCATTAATTAAAAGTATTTTCTAGTACATTTTCAGGTTAGAATGTTTAATACTGCTCGCGAAAGCTGACGCTAATTCCTTATCAGCCAAAAATGATTGGCATTTGACGCCGTTTTCTATAGCATATATGAAAGGTATTTCTTATTCATGTTTAACTGAAAATTCAGAGATTGCAATTTCATTATTTCAGAATTTTTACATATGAATCAGTATTTGTGGTATTATTTCTTTACGCTTGTGACAGATTTAGTTGAGATAAAGTTGTCGTTTTTTGGAGCTGTTCAAAGTCTTTTGGTAGCCTAAATTAAACCTCTTTGTAACTAAAGTGGATTCTAGTTTTTTGTTAATATATAGTTTTTGTTTACTGAAATGTTAAGTTGTATTCCTTAGCAACGAAGGGCTATTTACATTTTTTAGGACATTATGGTATCGTGGAATGGCTTGTTGATGGACCATATTCCAATTATGTTGATATAAATTCTCGTGATTATTCTGGGGCTACTCTGCTTATTTCGGTAATCAAATCATACTGTTCTTTCACTGACAAAAGGATCCTTGCGCAGTTGCAGTTTCTCATCGGTAATTTATCTTTTATTATTGATAAAATCTTAGTTCATAACTAATGGCAAAGTAAAGCTTTCTTTAGAATTTAATAAACATCAGCTCTGCGGTTATTGTGGTTTGCTGTAGCATTGACTACTACTGTGGCTTCTTATAAATTGTATTTTAGAAGCATACTGAGAATGTAAATTGTAACGGCAACTTCGAGTGATCTTCATGCTTTGCATTGACTTTGCAAAAAAATGCAAGTTATGAAATGAATTTCACTCCTAAAATATATTTGCAATTTTATTGAAGCTTTGTGAGCAAGTATCATGTAACAGGAAAAGGTGCTGACTGTTCATTGAAAGATTCCTCATCATATTCGCCACTGCATTACTTTTGCACTGTGAGTTATCAGCTGAAGGTCGAAAATTCTGATGTTGATTTCAATAAGGAAGCAAATGAGGAACGATTAACCAAGGATGAGTATCGCTCTTGTTTCAATTTGCTCATTGCGAATAGTATGGATTTGTTTGCTGAAAATAAAGGTAAGTGGTTTTATGAATGAATTAAGAAACCAATTTTTATTAAAAATTCGATTGTGATCAGCAAATAAAAGAATAAAAATAATAAAAAATTTGTATTTTAAACCTCATAATTTTTTTCTACAGAAAAGTGGTAATTATAGAAACAAGATTGACTTGAATATATTTTATGCTAGTAGTTTGCTAATAATTTTATGACTATGAATAAAAGTATAGTGTGGTCGCTATATCTAATGTTTCAGGTTGCAGTGCACTATATTTGGCAGTGAATTCCGGAAATTTATATCTTGCTGAGCTTATTTTCGATGAGATTGTATTGCAAGATTCAGCATTTCATTCGTTAAAATTCGAATCATCAGTTTTTTTCTTCCACTCACTTATTTCATTACCATTTAAGGTGAATTGATAACAGTGCTTTGGAAACTTAATTCAAAAAATATACTATTTGTATGGTTCCTTTGTGAGGAAGAATAAGTAGTATCATGATGCCAGTAGTTTTCTGCTAGAAAATTGTACTTTAGGCGATTTTATCATCATTTCGGAATCAAATGATAAGAATAATCAGTTGCTTTGTCTATTTTTATGGCTCTGAAAAGCTTTCAAGAAATTACAAATAATAGTTAATCAAACTCTAATATTAATATTTGCTTTATTCAGATCTATAATAACAGGTCGTTGTGGTCTTGTTATAAGGAACCTGCAGAAGGACAGTACAACATAATTCCGCTGTTGGACAAGTTGATATTACATGATGAAGAAAATGTTCGTCAATGGTTGTGGGAAAAAAATCAAATTGGGCTGACACCTTTATTGCTTCTTTGCCGCGAATATTTGTCTGCTCAAAATAAAATTTGCAGCCATGAAGAGGTGACTGTTAAAACAGGATTAAACTGAGATTTGTGTTAGAAATTTATCTAAGCATGTTTGAGTGTATTATGCTGAATTTGAGTATATGAACATATTGTTTTTAGTTGCTATAAAAGCAGATAATAAGCGCTCATTGTTTATATACAAATTATTACTTCTTACATTTCTTACCTAAAAAACTATTGTACACGAACGATAAATACAAGTGAAAAAGTAAATTGTGCTATTCGTAGAGATCTATCAAACAATTTCTTCATAAACATCGTAACTCCCATTTTCAATCGTCTGAAAATTACCATTTTTGTTTTTTCATGTAACGCTGAAATCACTCAAATTAAGTTTAATTTTTTTTTGTTTAGGTAAATAAGCTTGATTTATTTTATAGGATATATTTTGTGGAAGATTTGTGAATACAATTTGTGATGTTGTACATCGCCTGATTTCGTTGGACTCGCGAATCATATTTCAAAATGACACATTTGGCATAAGTGCTACCTCTTACAGTGCAGTCGATAAGACAGTACAAAATAAGGTGGAATACGATCATAAAGTTGTATGTAATATTAGTGGAGAGACTGATTCGTTCACGAGCAGTGAACACAATGAAATATCTGACTCAAAACAAATGGTTTATTTTTACTTGAGCTTTCACTTTTGCATGGTACGTGTTATTTGTTTCTAAATTGTTCGAAGTTTTTGAAAATTCAGAATCTCATTTGTAATTTTTATTCATTTACTTCTCGCAGAACTATGAAAAACAAAAAGGGACAAGTGTGTTCTTTTACGCTCTTCAAGCAAATGATTGCGTCCCATCATTGGCATTTAATATCCTAATTGGATCGAAAACGTACACAGTTATGAATAAGCTTCTAATTACGATTGTTGACTTTGCCAAAAAACATCATTTTTTGCTAGTAAGTCATTAATTTACTATGGTAATTCCAAATCTTTTGTTGATACATTTTATCATTATAGCTTGTTGGGAAAATGCTGTGATTCAGTAATTTTCTATGCATATGGAAAATGGTTGCTTGGTACTTTGTCAATAATGAAGTTATGAATTGGAAGACTTTTCAAGTTGTATATCGTAGCATTTTTTTTTCCGTCCATTCCTTATTTCAAAGTTTTATTGCGAGTTCAAGTTAATTAAACTCATTGTTGCACGTATTAATTTACAAAATGTGTGAAAATCCTTAATAGGAATTGTTAAATCAGTCTGACAACGATGGTTACACTCCTTTATTACGCATGGTCAGTTCTAATAATCTGTCAATGAGCATGTATCTGTTACATATGGCGCATTCAGTTATATCTGAAGAATCTGAAAATAAAGTGGATTCTGCAGCAGTAAAATTTCGCTATTGTCCGAAAACAAAGCGTTGTAAGTATCAAGGGTATAATTTGCGAAATTGAAATAATACCATACTCTTTTCAAAAAAACTCATTAGTTGTTGATATTCCTTATTTTACATGATTTTAACAAATTACATTTAATTTGAGCAAACAATGCCGTTTATTTTTGAATGGCAAAGAAAGATGTTTGGGTTAATATTGTAATTTTAAAGCCTTAAATTCATTTGCGATGTTCATGAGTCATTTACAGACTTTCCATGGAATAAATCAGTTTTGATGTTCGCTGTAGAGAATGGCATGATTGAAGTGAGTTCTTTTAATCTCACATATTTCAATTCTTGAAGGTAATATTGAATTCTTGACAGTCTAATGAAAAAGTAAGAACTTTGTTTGTTGAAATATGGAATCTTAGGAACAAAAATGGGTTTTGTGATTGAATTTACAGGGATATCACCTGAAGATTGCATTAAGTAATTAGTGTTGAAACGTTTTTAATTGTGGGTGTAAAATACATTCAGGAATTTTGCAGGCTCAAGTTCAAAACTCTTGGTTTTTGGTATTCAAAAGTTTGGTAGTTTATGAGTATTTTAATAATTATTAGCACGAAGTATAATGGTCAGTGAGTCATTATTATTTAGCTGATCGAAGAATTAGTTCTAACGAGCGCGGAATGGAACGCACATACGGGATGTGGTGACAATGCTTTCCATTTTGCAGCAAAATTTATTTCTTTGAAGTCAGCTGCTCTTTACGAGTTATTAAAAAGAAAAGGAGTAGAACTGAAGGTAAGATAAGATTGATTTCATTTTCAAATGAAGTCATAACAGGAAATTTGATGTAATATTGAATTTTAAGGCTAACGAAGAAGGACGATATCCTTTACATATAGTTGTTGCGTCATTGTCTAAAACTAGTGTGGATATTTTCACTGAGCCACTTGATTGGTTTTTAAATAACGAAAAGGGTATCTTTGACAGGTAAGGAAATTCTTCACAAGTTGTAATTTTATCAAGAAAATTTATATTTCTGCATTTTCAGCCATCATGAAGACTTATATTATTTTTTCAACAGATATGTTTTATACAATTTCAAGCTTTTCAAAATATGAGAAACAAACATGAGTTCTAACTCATTAAACAACAAAAATTATCATTGGTTCGCTCATTATGTCGTGGTTTATATAGATTAATGTTCTTAAATTGGTAGCAGTTTCAGATAAATATCTAATTACTATATATTTGTATCTGATGTGGAAAAATTTATTGGCAAAAAGCTTTTCAATACATTCAGTATCTAAACTGATTTTTCATGTTACGTTTTTGTAGTGACAAAAATGGTTGCTTGCCACTTCATTATTGTTTTATTCCATTGAAACGGAATATTTCTAAACAAGACAGCATCGATCCAATTTCTATACTCACAGTATTACTTTCTGCGATGCAGAGCAAAAATATGGTAATGTTTACCTAATTGGGAATCTTTTTTCATTCACTTTCCAGTAATAGTTCATTTCGAGATTGAAAATCGTACATTACACTTTTTTAATCAATTTAATCAAGTTCAGAATTAGTTGCTGAAACAAGTTTATGGTTTTAGATGGTTTCCGAAGGTTTTCCTTTGTAAGTTTTTTTTTCCATTTGCAGGTGTATATAAAGTATCGAATAGTGTTGTTTTTCAGATTGATAAAGCTGATGATTGGGGTTTTACAGCTTTGCATTATGCTGCATTGTTTGGAGCAAACATTTGCATTGTCAGCTTACTGCAAGCCGGGGCAAATCAGAATCTGTTAAATAATGATGGCAATACTCCTTTAGCTCTTGCTGTTTTAAAGAGAAATGAAGCTTGCACACTTACATTGATACAAGCCAAGAGTGATATTCATAAAGAGGCTATCCTTTAAATGATCATTATTAGTTGTTAAATTCAAAATTGATTATTACTAAATTACAATTCAAGGAACTTTCATATTTCAGACAAATTTTAGAGGTGAAGACAAATTTCAAAGTAATTTTGTAGAATTTATTGACAGAAAAGTTTACTAAAGGCTCTATTTAACAGGTACATTTCACAAAAAATGAAAAGACAAGTAATAATCAAATGAACAAGTGGATTTGGATCCCACTAAGGACAGCAGCTGAAGGTCAAAAACCAGTAGCTACCATTCCTAGTTTAATAGTGCGTAATGAATGGCAAGGAGTAGTCTATGTTTTATTAATTGTTATGGGTAAAAATGTACATACGACTGGTTGCTTCGTTCGTGCTGCGTTAGAATATCGAAAATATAATTTCGCGCAAACGATGTTGGAAATGTTTTACAATCTACTAAAAGGTTGAAAATTTTACATTATAAATATTAGTGAATCTTAATGATTAAGCAAAATTCTATCATCCTTGCGGTTGTTAAGTGTTAGATTCGTCTAAGCTTGAGAAATAAAATATTGTGTGAGTTTTTTCGGTAATTAAGGTTGAAATTTAGAATAAGTGATTTTCTTTTACGGCACTAAATGTAATTTCTTATTTTAGTGCAATTGATTATAAAATTTCTGTATTTAAAAGGAAGGAATATTAACACCACTTTTGTAGTGTTGCAGAAAAATGGTTAAAAATTCACATAAATTCGAATTCATGTTACTTGATTTAATATTAAAATTTCAGTTGAGCAGGTTGACAAAGCACTGTTTGTTCTGGATGAGCTGGATTTTTTTAAAATATTTGTCGAGAACTTAATCAGCGGTTCAGTTGACGAAAATATAATGAAAGTAATTTTTACTTTTGGGATGGGCTTTACATCGAAAATTATCTTAATTAATATTGGTTTATTTTTTCAGTAAAGATTTATTTCATCAATTACTCGATACAGTCTATAAAAATGTCTTTGTCTTACTGTATCGTTTTTAATACTATGAAACTGAAACGTACCACAAATTTAGAACGTTTCATAAGCAGTCTTTTTATCACTACATACTGTTTGTAAAAATTTTCAAGTTTGTTTTTACAAATATTTTTTTAGTTGCTTTAGATTTGCACTTAATTTGAATATGGTTTAACAGCATATGCAACTTTTATTTGGTAAACATTTGTCACATCCTTTACGAATTTGAAATTAGTCTAAAAAATAAGTTTGATCTAATTAACTTTCATCTTTCAGCTTATGAAGAGTTTGTTACAATTCGGTTGTAAGTGGTATAACCGACAAAATGATCTTTACCAGAGTAGTGTTATAGAATGTCTTGCATCTCGTGGCTATTTTCAGTTTTTACATGCTTTACATGACTTAGATCAGAAGACAGCTCATCCCGTGTGGAATTCGATAAATTACGAATTAACTAAAGATAATCCTTTAGTTGGTGTCATCGAAACATGGATAAAAAATGGTATAATTCCTATTTAAATTATCAGTTAGTTGAAAAGTTTTTTTGTTTTTTGTCATTCAAATGTAGACCATAAATTTTTTTTGACAAAATCTTGGGTCAGAAATTCTTTTTATTATTGATTGTGGAAAAGGTGATTACTGGTGATTGGCTCATAGTTCAATTTTATTGTTCAGGATCAGATAATGACACAAAGTACTGGTTAAAGCATTTTGCTGCCAAGTTTGGAATAAACTCGTTAATGCAGTATAAACGGCCTGCATTTTATGGCATGTATCCCTGTTTGCCGAAACAACCAGTTCCAGAATTTTGCTACATGACACCTCTGATTCGTGCTATTCAATGTTCAAACACTTCGCTTGTTGAGTAAGTTTGCTTTTTTAATATGTTAATAGTTTTCAGGTTATTGTGTTTTTGCTTTTTTCTAACAGTTCAGTTATGCTTCTTTTGTATTTTCCCGAAAAACTTGCTTAAAGGTTACAGCATTTAAAATTATGCTAGGAATTCATTTAAAATTGATATATTTGCATGAAAATGTATTTCATATTGTTTTTAATATTAATTGGAATGAGAAGCACAGATGTTTTATTAAAATAAAGAAACAGGCACTGTATCGATGAGATTTTTCACTATTGAGTGAAAACTGTAATGCATATAGGTTTCTTTTGCGAGAAACGGATTTGAAAACAGATGTAAATAAAGCAGACGAATTGGGCATAACACCGTTAATGCATGCATGTATGGTCAATTCCGAAGAAATTATTTTACTTTTGTTTAACCCGGACAGTTTGGAACAAGAAAGCATAAGACAACAAAAATCTATTCCAAATTCGAGTGGAACTTCTGTTTGGCTTTTACTCATTGGCAAATATTTGTTAAAAATAAATTTATTTTAAACTTTTTATGTATCGATTTATCAAAATCGTGAAAAAGTGTAAATTATACTGACTGACTCATGTTTTGGATACGAAATTCAGTGAATGCAGTAATCATTATGTAGTAATGGTTGTATTGTTCGACCAAAGTGTGTGTTCAATAAAAATTTTCTCCAGACATCTCTGGCATGTACCAGTGTTGGAATTGGTGGTTTATTTGGTGGTTTTGGGAATTACAGTGATGCGATAATGCATGATGATTGTGTTAATGATCGCCAACCTTTATCCAGGAAGAGAAAAATTGTATGTTTGTAGTGCACATTGCTTTAAATCTTTGTAATAAAACGATCTGCACATGGATAATTTTTTAGGCACAGGAAATTAAAGGCAGTGTTTTATGTAATGGTTTGAAATCTTTTTTCAAATATCAAATTATGTATCGTTTCTTGTAATGAGATAAATAAAATGCCACATTTTCTTCTTCTAAAATGACAATGTTCTAGAAGGAAAAGGAAATAAATCCTGTACGAAAGTTTGATCTTCAGTCCAGCTTGAATCTTTTCAAACAAACAAATGCTGTAATCGATGGTTTGGCTAATGTTGGAACAAGAAATTTTGTTCATTTTATGTTAGAACCATGTGGATGGCAAAATACCGATTTATTACAAGCAATAGGTGAAAGCAATCCAGAAATCAAAAGTTTAATCAAGCAGTCATCATCACAAGACACAAGTAAAACCCATTTTTAATTGAAAATAGTGACGGAGTTTCGCATTCTGCCTCTGTTTCTTTGTCATCTTATTATAACATAATTTTCGCATTTCAAAATTCGTTCAATTTGGCAAATCTTTAGGAAGATATTTTCTTGGGGACATTATTATACAGCATATTTAAATTATTTTTGTAAAAAAGCATTGATTCAAAGAAACAACATTCGAGTAGGAAATACTATTAATAAGTATTGACAGTATGACTTGCTTAAATATTTTCGATGCTACAAATAAATTGATAAAATGCTTGTGCATAGCTTGACTGAAAAAACTTCAAACAAATTTTAAAGTTTTGTGTGCTTCAAGTGATTTTAGATGCTTCACCATTACACATTGCTCGTGAACGTCATCAAATACGTATGCTTGAAACGATGAAAGCATTATGTCGATTCGACAATAGTGATTTCCGTGCCGAATATGTGCGTTCACAAATTTAAATAAGATAAAATAAAGTGTATTGTAAGTATTAAGATACTTCTGATCTTTGTAAGTTTAAATGTATAGGAATTTAATGCACTAACCTGAGTGCAATAGCTTAATCAGAGAGCTTTTTAACTTTAACATAACTTGAATCTTTTTTATTTTAGCGTAATTTTTTTTCAAATCTCTCAAATCCAAAACTTTCCAAATATCTCATCATCCGTAATTTGTCAGGATTAGGAATATTATCGTTAAAATCTTCATTTCATGTAATGCTGAAATTATTTTTAAAAATTTTGATATTTTTGATATAATATTTGTGTCACGATACATTTTATGATTAAGATTTCTTTCCAAATCAGTTTATTCCTTGGCAAATGCATAGGACATAAATTGGTTTTTTAGCCACCTATTGATGTGAGCTCCATAAAAACAAGCTATGATATTGATGGAGATTGTGAACTTTTCCTTTCAAGTGATGCTGAAGGACGTCAAAAGCAAATGAAGCATGAATTTATGAAATCTTTTTTGAAACCTCATAAAAATAGTGGTTATGACGAAACTGGAAAAATTTGCTTCAAACCGTTGGAAGACTCTGAGCCAGTTCCTTATAAGGTTATATTCCTATTTGCTTTTATCTTGTTGGAGAGAAAAAATGATATAATTAAAAAGTAATAACAGTGGTAATAATGCAGTTAACCACTGTTATTTCTTTCCTGTTATTCTCCTTGAAATTAAATCATAGAAATTAATTGGTTTTTTGCTTTAATATCTTGAAATTATTCAATTTATATTTCGTTGATGTAATTACTATAGTCATTTTATATATAGGTCTTGCTAACGAAGACGGATATTAGCCGTGGATTACATGGATTTCATAACTACTATCGAATGGAACTGATTAAACTTGAAGGTAACAAAAATATCTGGAGCATTTCTAAATAACTAGATGAATTGTTATTTTAGTTGTTGGTTGATGGAAAAGATATAGTCAAAATTGATAAGTATGTATCTTCAAGTAATATAGAGTTTTTTAGCAAGTGATCTATTTGTGGTGTTTACGAATTGGGGTAGAATTGGAGATGCAACTGGACAGTATCAGCGGACACCATTCAGTACACTGGATGAAGCAGATAAAGAGTTTACAAATATATTTCGATCGAAAACTGGAAATGAATTTATGAATATTAAAAATTTCATTGAAAAACCAACAAAATATAGGTGAAATTATGATTTATTAACTCTATTAACTTAGTTTAAGTTAAAACATGTAGTTTTGTTTCCATGCTTTTAAAGCTGAGAAGATTTCCATTTTTTCTCTCTTTTATTTGTATTATACTGTACTGTTTTTATTAGGAAAATGAAAGATATCACTGATGTTGTCATGCTTTACAGGCTAGTGAAAGTAAATTCTGATACGTCTGGCGATATTGCTGATCTAAAAATTGATCTTGATAAATCCAGTGCTATTGATTATGAAGCTGCCAAATGTTCGACCTATCAATTAATAAAAGATATCAGTGATGTTAAGCGACTACAAAAGCGAACTAGAATGGTACGATTTTTAAGTTTTTTCAAATATTTTTTTTTAAAGTCAAATATGGTCAGGAAAAAATTGAGGCATTTATTTCAATAATTGAGGCGCAGCTGTTGTAAAATTCAGTTTGTTGTGAACATCTGTAAAAAGTAGAACTTCTTGCCTTTTATTTCGGATCTCAGAGATTTTCGTAAAGTTTGTTCGAGTTTCAGTGGGGCATTAATTTTCAGTTGGTTAAAAGCTTGATTCCATAAATATTTCCAGATCTGCCACATAAAGCGTTCTCGAGTTCCTTTCGGGTGCATTTGTCGATCAGATTTATTGAAGGCTCAGAATTTACTTCTAAAGCTTCGAAATTTAAATAAAGAAATGCGAAATTGCTATGAGATGTCTGAAAGTCCAGAAACAGTACTGAAAATTTTTCAAGCACAGTCGGAAACAACGAATGAATTTTATAAGTTAGTATTTGATATGTTGATATCCGATCAAATTGTTAAAATCACTTAATATCTTTACAGTTTACAGGTTTGGGAAATCTGTCTTTTTACTTTTTATAGTATTCAGAATTTTATTCCAAACAAGATTGATTTGATTGGCGTCTTTATTTGTAAACAGAAGTAATATTAAATGGTCCTCGTATTTTTATGTTTTTCAGACTGATGCCATTAGGTGGCTTCGAAAATAGTGCTCTGGGAGTAATTGATAACGAAAGTAGTTGTGAAATTTTTGAAAAAGTGATTGAAGGTTTGCTTCATATGGAGATAGCGGGTAAAATTGTAACGGCAGCTGCATTCAATATGAATCACATCGATCCGTATATGTAAAGACATTTTTCACCTCTTTTAAAAAGAAAAATTTTTTAATTTCATATCCAAAGTTACTAGTTTAGAAGTAGGGAATCAAGCGGCTTATTATTTTTTGATGTTTTATTTATATAAATCCAGTATAAATTGAATTTTCGTGATCAGATTGTTGATTTGTAATGATTATAAATCGACAAGAATATATGTATCATTTTAGGTATATCACAAATGCCTTGGAATGTAAATTAAGTATGCTTGATCCAGATGATTTAACAAGTCAGCGAATACTGCAGTATATTCATATATCGTCGGACTGTTCAGTAAGAGCTATTTATGAAATCAAAAGTCGCGAAGCGGCTGAGCAATTCAATGCTCATGCATTACATATCAAGAATCATAGGTTTGTTCCATTTTAATTTGTTAATCTCATGTAGTCATTTGAATAAAAAATATACATTGGTAAGTTTAATGTGAAATTAATTAGACTAATAGTCCTATATTTTTGTTCAAAATTATACTTGATTTTAATTTTTTGTTGGTTAAAAATTTACTAGTTGGAGGTTTATAAATCTGACTTACAAGTTTAATTGCACGACCATTCAAAATTAAGTTTTAAAACTCTTAAACAATCACTATCACTGTTCTGTTTGTCAACTTATCGTTCCATGTCTTTCATAATTATACTCAACGCTTCCGTTTAAGATATTTGTGGCATGGGACAAAATCGGAGAATATGTTGAGCATATTAAAAGTAGGTTTACTGCCATCTCCAAGTTTTGTCGAACGAACTGGTCAAGCTTTTGGGCAGGTTGATTTTATTTATTTATTTTTCAATAATTTAATAAAAGTGCTCAAAATTCATTTAATTAATCTGCATCATTCAGTTCTTTTAATATATGACTCAGTAATACTGGATAATGCTGCCACTCAAATTAAAAAAAAAGCTGCACATGTTTGTAATTGAAAGTTTTTTATTGTATACGTACATGTAAAGTAAAATTGAAATTCACAATCTGTTTTAGGGAATCTACTTTGCTGATTCATTTGAGAAAAGTAGCGGTTATAGTACAGCTTCAACTAGTGGCGTTAAATACATCATGTTATGCCAGGTATTGCATTTTTATAAATGCTCGCAGATTCTGTCCTGTGAAGTATGGATATCTTATATGCAAAGTATTATGTGTTTAAATAAATATGCTTGTAATGTTCATTTTTAAACTTTTATGCAAGTTACTGAAAATTTTGAGTGAGAAAAAATGTTTTCATTTTTCATTAATTTCTTCGAAAAGATAAATGGTAATAAAATAAAAGGTTCATTCAATTTTTTAAGTTTTCTAACTGAAGCACAATTTTAATAATTGAGTTTAGGTTGTACTACTAGGAAAAGTATTTATGGTGGTTCATCACAATTTTTCCGAATAAACTCAATTACTTTCATTAACTGAATTTATTTGAAAAATTCGGCGTAGGATTTCGAAATGTGTATCTGTATCTGCAAGCTACTTGTGAAAAATTTACTTATATTATTCATTAGAGTTTTATATTTTGTATATTACTTCTGTTTTGATATTCAAAATAATGAAATAATACATGGGTGCTGTATTTTCTTCATGAATGTGAGACGCTACTGATTTCAGTAAGAGGTAGTAACGAGAGGTATAAAATAAAAAATTCTCAGGTAACATTTTCAGGTTGCACTAGGTGAAATATTTTATGGTGCTTCATCACAACCTGTGCGTAACAATGTTTGCGATGAATCGAGTCGTTATCATTCACTGAAGGTTGTTGGATATTGTGAACCAGATCCGCATTATGATTTGACTATGGAAGATGGTACCTTTTTTTAGGTTTTATCTTCGCTGAATCTTACGCATAAGTTTTATCTATTAAATTTTTGTCTTTAGTTATGAATTTTAATGCAAACAGTCTTTTTAGTAAGAGTAATCCTAGTTTTAAAAAAAAGAAATGAAAGGTTTTTTGCTCAGTTTTTAGTTTAATTTCTACCAACTAGAAGTTTTGGAGAACTCTCAAAGAACTCTGAAACAGTGCATTACCGATGTATGTAACAAAAATGAAGAGCAATGTTTTCATTTCATGTGCTTTGAAGTGACTATTTTTAAGGATGTGTGCTGCCTTTGGGAAACATGATTAATGTCAATGTGGAAGAAATTTGGAAGCTCCACAATTTTCGCCCATTGACAACATATAATGAATATGTTGTGAATGATAAAACTCTCACTCTTGTTCGTTATCTTATTGTTTTTAAATAATTTAGAACTTTATAGTGTTCGTAAATTTACATATTCAAATTTTTTAGTGTACTGTAAGTATGTATTGATGGATTTAGATTCTTGATTTTCCGATAATGTGTATTTATGAAAATAAAAGCTTTTCTTATATCAAAACTTTTCTTATGTAATTGTCGTTTACACTGATTAGACTGTTCCAAGTTCATTAACTGACGGATAAATTTTGTGAAAAATTGTCTAAAGTTTTGAATAGAAGTTTAAAAGTCGCTTCTTAAAAATTGTGGAGGTAGCAGGAATCTTCAAATTTTCATCACAAATGAGAAAAAGCATAGAAGTGGTGCGTTATAAAACATTTATAAAAGGTAGTAATATCAGATTGTTCTTTGTTTTTAGTATTAGATTCTGTTTCTCTACTGCATATTGTAGTTTCTATGCATCATTTTAGTAGGAGGACATTTTTTGGTCTCATTTAGTTTTGTAATTAAGTTTGTCGAAATCCTCTCGGAAAAAGATTGAAGTAAGTAGGTTGAATTGAGATTTATTTGAAAGTAGTTCAGTAATGAGAATTTGTACGACACAGCATGTCATTTAAAATTCAATTTCAGCGGCTTGCGTACCTTACAGTGTGGATGTCTCTTTTGATGATTTTGTAAAAGTTTTTGTTTTACTTCTTAATTATGCTTTGTGCTTGATGTATTACGCACGCATATTATTACGTGTTTGTTTTATTCGCCTTATTTAAAACTATTTTATAAGTGGGATTCAGTTGTAAAAGTGATTTTTTATGTTATTAAATATGGTGGATACAAGGTTAGTTTTGCTTTGAGTAGACCTTCATAATATATGAAGTGTCTTATTGTTGCTGAAAAGAATTGAATTTGGTTTAGCTATTTTTTATTTAATTTTGTTCCTTCAATAAATTTGCTAATTACTACGAGTTAGAACCGGTCTTATGGGGATTCTCTCATGCCGGATATTGAATTTGTTACTGAGTGTTTTAGAATATGTAATGTGCGGAATGTTTCTACTTAGTAAGATTCGTTTTACAGATGAAACATGCACGAGTGTATAAAAGATTGAAAGATCTGGTAATGCTTAAAATTATAATTTAAAAAAAACGTTGTCATCATGGAGAGACTAAGACAAACTGAGTCTCAGATTGCGGATTTCCGGTATTCATATTTAAGAGTGTGTCATGGGATTTGCGAAGTAGTGATCACACAATCCAAAAATAAGTTCAGCCTGGAAGATGAACTGGTTCCCTATTTGTAACTTCTGAAGTGTGTTGTCCATGATCGTGTTTATTTCAGGTTCGATAAATATTTAAGTAATTGGTAATGGTATAGATGTTGAAAGCAAGTTTGCAAGTAATAAGCAGCAGTTTTATTTGACAAATATTTTATGCTGGTAATTGTTGCATATTTTGTATATAAGTAAGAATTTTGAATATCTTATTTTTAAGGTCATTAAAATTTGATTTTTATACCTTATTTTTTAGAGCAAAAGAGGACTCCATTTTTTTAAACGAAAATTTTGACAAATTTTGTTTATCCTTAATTTCATATTTTGAATTTTAATTCATTTATATATTGCAATCTTATGAATCTTATGAAAAACTTTTAGATCTTGTTACTAACATGGAAGATATGGATGGTTATTTATTGATTTCTTTATCAGTTTTAATGTTCATTGGTAGTTTTTTAGTGGGATTGGTGCCACTTACGTTCAATATGTCAGAGGTATTTAAGTCATATTTTTAAGTATCGCTTTACGTAGTGATTTGAATGTAACGAGTGCGAGATTTATTTCTTTAAGAAATGTGCATAAGTTCACTGCAACAAAATCTTTGAAAATCATTTTCTAAATATTGCTAGCAATTCTATTTTTCTGTAGAATTGCCTGTAATATTCAGAAAAAGATTTCTTGGAGATATTATCCATCACTCCATTCATTCCCTCATTGTTCATGGAAGTGATTACTTTTCTTCCTTATAAGTAAGGATTTTAACTAACTTTAAAAGTTTTCTGTCTAAATTTTTTTGTCCAGGGACGAACTCGTCTATTAAGCACATTTGGAGCAGGTTTACTAGTTGGAACAGCCCTATCAGTTGTTGTTCCCGAAGGTGTTGAATCATTATACCTTGCTCAAACTGGTATTTTTTATTTCATTGCTTTTTCTAATCTAAAAAACTGAATGCGGTTCTTCATAGTTGATCCAAAGAGACTTTCAATCGTATTTCATAGCAAATGGTCAGATTGATATTGATAAAACTTATGGTTTAAGTTAAGTTTAGGGGAGCTTATATTTACTTGCTTTTTCATTTCATTGTGTTGTCACTATTATGTTTTAAATACTGTTCTACTAAACTTATTTCTTACTGAGAAGTTTGATCTTACTTTTTTATTCACATAATTTTCAAACTAAATAAAACGTGATTAGTTGATGGCATTGAAGCCAAATTTGCGTTTTTCATAAAGTAGCATCAATTTATTTGCTATTTTAAGGTTCTTCAGCAATTTATCTATCGAAAACTTTACGGAATAGCAATAAAGTTCAGAATACTAATGAAAATCTGCTGAATGTAGCAAATGCTGCTTCCAAATCTAACTTGTCGTATGTTTGATTTGTATTATGTAGCTTATTAGACTACTGCTTGGAACATAGAAATGTAGACCCTTCAAGAAAGACAAAATGCGCTACAATATACATATATTGTAGCGAATTTTGTCTTTCTCTTGAAATTATTTACTGACAAATCTAAAATATCCAAGGACTGTCATTTTTCTGTTGATCATGTAGACGAATTTGGAGATTTATTTCAATACTTCGAAATTCACTGCTTATTTTTATGTCTTGTAGTGAAGGGGATGAATATCGAAAAGATTTCGGTAACGCTGTTGTCAATGAAATATTGGTAGACAAGCACAGAAATTTTGTAGATGCTAAAAAAGGTATGTTTTTGTTGCGTATTGAAATTATTACGTGAAGTCAGCTGTTAGTAGAAAAATTATACAAATAAATTACTCGTAAGGAATTTATTCAGAAATGAGTCGTATATGAATTTTGCAAACTATGAGCTGTTTCATGTAGAATCTTTAATTGATGTTAACCGTCAAAGAATTAAAATGATTTGAGGTAATGATTATGCATTTTGTAATTTTTATTATTAGTCTGCCGCTATTTTTGTTTTTCTCACATAAAAATTTTTTTAACTATATCGTTGATTGTATAATTGTTTTAATGGAAGCTCTATTTTTTAATTATTAAATTCAAAGCTCTTCCACTACATGATTTGAAGAAAAACTTTATTTGGTTCAGGAACGAGTTTTATTTATGAAGATTGATTTGTAATTAAAAATATAGAAGCATGGCTTGAATTGCTTACCGTTTAACAAATACTTGTTTTAGTATTCGAAAAAGTCCTTATTTTAAAAACCTCTGAATTTTTGAAGTGCTCTATTTAAAATCTTTTCTTTATTTTGCAGAAATTCAGAAAGACGACGAACATGGTCATTTGAAAGTAGAAGTTGATGTTATGGCAATTAAAAAGTCTGTTGGTTATTCCCTAGTTACTGGTTTCATATTCATGTTTATAATTGACCAAATTTCTCGATTTCTGCAGTCAAAAGGTTACAATTACAGCATTTTTGTTATCTTGTCATATAAATTTTCATTGGACTTCCATGCAAAAAATCTAATTAGTTTTATTTTCGTAAAAGTTTTTTGGTTTTTTTGAGTTGTTTCTCTGAAAAAAAATGTCAAAATCAAACTTTCTACAACTCTATTCAAATTTCTAATAAAAATTTCTAGTTATATTGTTTTAAATTGAGATTTAAAACCTAGAACTTTGTTGTTGATTCAAAACCAGGCAAGAGCAATGATTTCAACCTTTTCTAAAATAGATGTTTATTGAACTTTGGTGTTGATGTTAGACTTTGTGAATCAAGTTCATTGATTGAAATCTTCACTAAATGATATTTAGTTATAAATTTGTTTAGAATCTTCAAGTGGTATTATAAAAATATTGGTGTTATAAAAATATAAACTTTTATAAAAATATTTCCAGCTGCAATAATTGAAGTAATGTCTCATTCATGGTTTATTTATTTGTTTATTCATTTTTTGATGGAAATTATCACTTATTTGAGGTGGTGAACGTTCACGGTATAAAATGACAGCAACGATTGGTTTGATTGTGCATGCCGCCGGTTTGTTTTAGAAAAAGTTTTCGTGTGTGTACAGCTTTGTTACAGAGTAATTTGAAACTAAAATGGAACAGAATCAAACTTTCTACAACTCTACCGTCAAATTTCTAATAAAAATTTCTGGTTATGTTGTTTTAAATTGAGATTTAAAACCTTGAACTTTGTTGTTGATTCAAAAGATATTTCTAGCTGATGGAGTTGCTCTGGGAAGTGCATCAACAACGAATCGTACTGATGTACAATTTGTTGTCTTTTTTGCTGTTATTTTACATAAGGTAAATGTTGATAAAATTTTCTATATTGAAAAATTTCTGACAGCAATAATTGGTAAGTTACTTCTTATTTTTCAACTCAATTTTATATTGTGAATTATTCAAAATTTAAGTTTGTGTGTAGTTGTTTTTTTTACTTCAAAGGATTATGTTACTCTGAAAGTACCGCAATGATTATTTACTGAGCTAACTGTATTTAGTTGCCTAGTTTATTTACATTTAAGTTTATAGATTCGAAATTTAGGTTGAAGTCCAAATTAATTTTATCACATTAAAGGCTCCAGCAGCGCTTGGCTTAGTCAGCTTTCTTCTGGTGGAAGGTGTTGAACGATTCAGAATACGTAGACATTTATTTGCTTTCTCAATTGCTGCACCATTAACTACTTTCGTGACTTATTATTTGATAATTGCTGTAAGTTTCGGTCCATCATTTTAGTCAGCAAAAAAAGTTGAAGTACTTCGTAGAATCTGGTCTGATTTCAGATTGAACATGATGCATTGTCATCGAATTCCACAACTGGGATATTAATGTTGTTTTCTGCTGGGACATTTTTATACGTTGCAACTGTACATATACTTCCAGAATTGGTAAATAATTCGTAAAATATTCCTTTCTAAAATAAGGTATAATGAAAATTAGAATGCGACATTGTAAATCAAGTAGGTGAGATATTTTACTGATTTCATACGCAGTGACTATGGATATCATTTTCACTGTAGATAAATCTGTATGAATACGAAGGGGGTTTCTTTACTTTGGTAAAGTACTTCGAATTTATTGCTCAAATTCGCATTTCTTTTTGAAATGTGGAAGAAGGCTGCAATTAGTTACTTTTCAAAGCTGTGCATTTGTTCGTGGTGATGGCAAGTGTAGTTGAAGATGATTATCAGAAAGTATGATTTTACAAACGAGAAAAATATAATTTTTAATGAAAAGGTTTCAGAGTTGATGTAGATACGGTATAAATAATTGGGAACCACCAATGCATGTAAATTTTATTGGAAAAACATATTCACTAAACATTGCGTAGTATAAAGTTTTTATACCATGTTTAAATTATTGATGGAAGTCATAAAGAATCTATAATGAAAATGGAAATAGCAAAGAATAGTAACACTAAACATATAATACTATTCCCAGAACTTTATAATCTTTTACTAGCATTCGGGCTTTTTTCCAACCGTAATTTCTATGCAAAAGTTTTTTAGATGAATTCCGGTTGCAGAGGTTATCATGAATTATTGAATAATGATGTTGAGTCTACTGGTCGTGGAAGAGCATCGTTAACCTTTAACGAATTTGTCTCTGTCATTATTGGCTCCATTTGTCCCTTGTTATTGATCAGTGGTCATTCCCATTCACACTGACTTTAGATTAAAATATATTAAATTAAAATAACTGGATATCCATTTCAAAGATATAACTTCAATTTTGTAATGATTTTGTTTTTATAAAAATTAAAAAGACCTGATATAATTCCATCTTCCAGTGCCTTTTAGTTTTCAAGCGAGCTATATTTTTCAAAAAGTAAGGAAACCAGCAGCCGATTCACAAGTGTAATTTTGGAAACCATGAGTGTAGTTTTGTTCTGATTCATGACAAACAAAATCTAATTAGACTTGTAAAAAGGTGATGAAAATGATTGCTATAAGCTTGTCAAGCTTACATAAGATTCTGATTTTATTTATTGCTGCAAATGTACCTGTTACTAAAAATTTCTAGTACTCTCATTTTTGTTATGTCTGATTATGTCTTTTAGATGCATGTCGAGATTTGTGATTGAATACATTTATTCAAATGTATATTATTTTGTTTGCAAAACGATTTAAGAAGTATTTGCTTCTGTGGCACATTACATTAATTATTTGTCGTGCTCGTTTATTACAGCTTTCTCTTATTTGATATGCCTATTTATTCGATAGTCCCAAAATAATTCCTAGCTGCATATGGATATATGGATTTAATAGGTTGATTATATCACCTGTAACGTGTGATTTTTTGAGATTATCTTATTAAAAAAATTGATTGCAAACTATGGCTGTTCCGATGATTATGTCTTTTAGATGCATGTCAAGACTTGAAATATAGCCTTGATTTGAAGGAACAATAGGTGGAAAGTTTTTCAGTTGAAAGTAGTTGGAAGTACTCAATTTCATTTCGTTTGGAAGTTTAAAGTAGTTTAAATCCTGTTTATACGCTATTATTCGCTAATGTTGACGACCTGTTATTTTAAAATATTACAGCTATGAAATCTGATAGTCTGGAGGAAATATTTAATTGTTTAGAAATTGCAGGAAATTTTCTGCTCTTTTCTATCCTCAGGAGATTCTACTATTTTCGAAGTATAATAATGTCTAGTTCGCATACTTTAAAAATATTCTATGGCAGTGAAACAGGTACTGCTCAGGATGTCGCTGAATCTTTGTGGTATGATGCTCGATATCGGAATATTCCATCTGAAGTACACAATTTCGGCAATTATACTATACAGGTTATATTCTACAACTTATATTTTAGTGTGCTTACTAAAATATTAGCGGAAATGCATTTTTTCATTTGATTGCTTTTATCTGTTGTACAATAATAATGATGAGGAAATTCGAACAGCTGTCTGAAAACCCGAACAAAAATTCCAGTAAAAAAGTTTCTTGTTTTTTGTTATCCTAAAAGAAATATTTTTGACTTGTTAGGGGCATAAAATACTGGTTTGCAATAGTACTTGGTGCTTCACAATAAAATTTGGTGAAAGCTTATTTATACAGGACTCATCTTTATAGAATCTTTTGCTTCATATACTTTTTTCTGCTCATTTCAAATTTCAGCTTTTTAAGAAATAGAAACTATAAGCTTGGTATTTAATCCAAATCATATTGTTATTAACTTTGTTTTTTATTTTAGTAAAAAAATTTTTGTAACTACATGATATTGTTTTTCAATCTTACTACAGTTACTTGCTTATAGAGGTATCCTAATTCCAGAATCTCAGTGACGAGCACTGTGTTGTATTTGTAATAGCAACTAGTGGGCAAGGTGAAATGCCCGTTAGTATACGTCATAACTGGAGAATTCTATGCTGTAAATCGTTACCGAATAATTTGCTACAAAGTGTAGGTTTGGTTATTTTGCTAAAATTCGGCTTAATATGAAAACCGATAAAATTTCTCCAACACCTCTTTTTTTTTTGAAAAATAAGAAATTAAATATATGGAACTATATTTTTCCCATTATTTGACTATGATAAATTTTTAGTTATTGATCTCAGTTTTCTTGATTAACTTTGACGGGATATTATTTTGAATAAAATTATCAAGGTCAAAAAATTTTTTACTTGTTTATACATTTTCGTAAATAAAATTCAGACATATTTTGCTGTTCTTGGACTTGGCGATTCGTCCTATCAAAAATACAATTTTGCAGGGAAAAAGCTGTATCGAAGGTAGTAATATGCTATTTTTCTTTATTCTTTACCTACATGTTTTTTTTATTTACTTGCCTTTGAATTCAGGAAGTGAAAATGTTCATGTATATTTGTATTCTTGATGTAACTATGCAGAAATTTATTTTTAGACTGAATCAGTTGGGATCAATATTTTTGACAGAATTAGGACTAGCAGATGACCAACATGAATTAGGAGTCGAAGGAACGTACGAAAATTTTCGAGATGAATTATTTCAACAAATATGGAAAAGAAATTTATATCCGGTAATAGTTGTGATTTAAAATCTTTAGTGATGCTTAAGTGATATTCATCCTTGGCACTATATTTTTTAGCTCTAAAAAAATTTAGTGATGTTGTGAAACATACTGTAAGTTAAAAATGTATGAATTCATCGATAAAATAGTTTTTCCTAAAATTTAATTTATTAATTTTATAGGGTATGATTTTGAATCCTGATGACAGCGGAAGTTTGCCGGCTCGATATAAAATTATTTATGATGCAAATTTTCCTTCTATGTTTGACGAAATCGAAGATGACGCATTTGTAGAAACATCTATGTTGAACAGTGAGCGGTTGACAGCGGAAACTCATTTTCAGGTATTTCATGCTAACTGAATGAAAACATTATTTTTTGTGATGTAAATATCTGTTAATTAAATATATATATTGTCCCTGTTTTTGGGTCATTAATTTGTTAAAACATTTAATTACTTAGTTTTTTGCTTTCTTCATCTTTTTGATGTTATTGAGCTAATTATACATATTTCTGGATACGCGGTTGATCACAGTAAAAAAGGATGCCGAAGAACTTCGGTAAGAACTAGCCTATTGTTGCATTTACTTTTAATCTTTAAAAATGAAGAATTAAAACAGTTTTTAATTTTATTTCGTTAATAAGATATACAGATTAACTGTTAGTTCTTTATTGCAGTTATTCTCCTGGAGATGTGCTTATGGTTCACCCGAATAATTTACCTGAAGCGCTTAACATAGTTTATGAGATATTAGGCTTTAGTGATGATTTACTAGATCGACCTTTTACTTTAATCCCGCGTGAAACATGTATTCCCTTACCTTCACCACATCTTTTCAAAGGTATAAATTACTGTTCAAGATAACTGAATGCCATTTAAGCTATTTCTAAATCCATTATTTTATTCATTGTTTCAGAAGGGTTAACGTTACGGCGGTGTTTTGAGCGTTACTTTGATTTACAAATGGTCCCGCGAAGATCTTTCTTTCGAACTCTTGGAAAATTGTCGCTGATTAAAGAAGAGAAAGAACGATTGCTCGAGCTAGCAAAGAATATTGTTAGTTTCAAATTTGATATGAATTTGTAATTTTGATAAACTATTTTCATTTTCTGTTCTTTAGGATGATTACATGGAGTATTGCTGGAGACCGAGGAGAACAGTAGCGGAAACTTTGCGAGATTTCCATATAACTATTCGTAGTGTATGCACAGAAATGTTATTCGATATTTTTTCTCCCATTCGTGCTCGAGCTTTTAGTATTGCATCCTGTCCTTTAACTCATTCAACTATCCAAATACTCGTTGCTCAAGTAAGATTTCGTTTTCTTGATAGTAGTGCTATAGGAATGAAGCACTGTACATTCCGTTCAGTCTTAATTTAAAGTATTGGCTTAAAAGCAAACTTTTTAATTTTATAATGTCTAACAGTACTGTAGATGAAGTAAATTTTCTTCAGAACTGAATTCAACTCAAAATCGTAACTTTTCAGTTTGTAAACTCGCAGTTATTTTTAAAAAATTTGGAATGACGAACAGTTGAAGTTTCATCTTACAAAAAATATATTACCTAATTTTTGAACGAAAAAATCTTTCTCTTTAAGATAAATTATAATATATTAATAATGCATTTTAAAATAATATTGAAGTCTATTTGTGTTCTTTTTTTTTCAGGTTAAATATAAATCTAAACGTATGGCAAGTCCACGATTAGGTTTATGCAGTACGTATTTAATTAGACGACGTTCAGGAGATACATTACTGGTAAAAATTCGTAAAGGGACTTTTCGGTATGAAAAAAATTTCTTGCTCGCACTGTATTAATTTAGGATTTCAATGCAGAAATTCTAAAAAAGTAGGAAAAACCTTTTGAAAAAATTGGATTTAAAAATTTGTATGATAAGGACATATTTGCAGGTGGCCAAAGCAAAGTGATGCGATGATTTTAGTTGGGCCAGGTACTGGCGTATCATCTTTTCGATCAATTTTAGCTTACCGAAAAAAGTTGGTACTTCTGCATTTACTGAGTAGACGAAAGATAAATGAGACATTAGTATTAGATCGTGCTGTTGCAATAAATGATCTTTCACTTAAAAGTTTGATTTGTATGGTTGAGTCACTAGAAACAGAAGAAAAATCAGTATCTTTTTTTATGAAATAAACGAAAATCAGATAGAATTTTCAGATTGTATCTAATATACTGACGTAACTACAATTGAATTATTTTAGTACTGCATCTTTAAATTAAAATTATTGTGGAGGCATTCATTTGTCTTTAAACATAGAGTAGTGTGCTCATTCATTTCCTCATATTGTATTAAGCCTGTAAGTGGGAAATTAAAAGATATAAAATTCTAATTCAAGCTTACAACTTTTAAAACTTTTTAGGCAGCTCTGCGATGAAAAAGATGCTTCAATATTATTTTTTGGATGTCGAGGAGCTCAAAAAGATTACTATTTTGCAAGCGAATGGCAAAAGTTGACTGCAGCACGCATAATTGTGGCTTTTAGTCGAGATCAAGAAAATAAGGTTCGGAACAATGAATTTGAAATTTCTTTTATTAATTTATTTATTGAAATTAAAGTTGTTTTTTCTGACATCTTCAAAGCAGTTTACAGGTAAAGTTTATGGCTAGTTCATGTGGACGAAAATGATATTCTTTTTAATCAGCTTTCAGTATATCTTGCTAAGCGTCATTTTTTAATATTACCTTCAGAAAAGTGACAGGCCATCACTGAATTCAAAACAGTTTGCTAGTGATTGTAGTAGCTCATTCTACACTTATGAGAACGAAACTGTCATGTGTTATTTTCTGATAAATCATTTGTATTAAGGATATTTGTTTTTTACAGATTTATGTTCAGAACAAAATTAAAGAATATGCTGACGAAGTTTGGAACTTGTTAAAAAATTCTAACGGTAATTTTTTCATTTTCAGAAAGCATTAATTTTCATTTAAATTATCCATGAATGAATTACATGATTAATGAATTCAACTTTGATTCATTTGGTAACTAATGAATTAAAATGTTTCGTTTTTTAAAACGTCGACGAATTGTCGATATAAAGACAAAACTGATCTATCTGGAGAATCAGTAACTCTACTTTTACTCTTCAGGTCATCTTTTTATAGCAGGAAGAGCGGGAGATATGCCGCGTGAAGTGACTACTAGTGTGGAGGAAATTGCAAATAACAAAGGTGAAGATGGTAAAGACTTCATACATATGTTGGAATCAAATGGTAGACTGCAGTATGATACATGGAATTGATCCGTAGAAATAATGTTTGGGATTAATTAAACAATGTGAGTGCTTGCTGTTAAAACTTGAAAATTGGCTTCTCTTTATTATAAATTGTATTGTGAATTCGATGTCACTTTTTCGCTTTCTTTAATTATTCGTAAGCAAAACAGAATAGTTTTTTTTTCATTCCTCAATACGAAGTCATTGCACAAAGAAACATGATAATTATGCTGATTAAAAGAATTCTGAAGAAATAGAATTATTGTTTAAAACTTATTTTGTAAACAAAAATGTCATCAAAGGATTTAGAAAAATTAAACAATGTGATGCAAAAGCGACTTAAGATTCTATATCGACTCATATAAAGCTATTGTAACAGAGCAATATTCAGATCAATTTTCTCCCAGTTATCGAATATTAGGGTCTTCCAGCTTTCGAAAATATTATGAAGAATGTTATTAGCTAGTAGAACAGGGCAATTGGAGAGTAAACGTGGGATTTTTTTTGCTTTACTCTTTATTGATGAACTGAAAATGTTTATTTCCATTCTCGAGTACTATAAACATCATGCGAGAGTAGAAGAAAGTTTGTAAATCATGGAAATACTATATTAATAAAGTACTTATTTTACTTATTTTCATAATAATGATGCTAACGTTTTTGGCAATTGAAATGCAAGTTTTCAATGTCAAACACCAAATAAAATTGACGAAATTTTTCTTAGAATCTCATGATTTTCAAAAAAAAGAGCCATATGCTATTTACATATATTCTCGAAAAATATTCCCCTCATTGTTATTTTAAAGATTGACTTGTGAACGTCGGTAATCAATTGTAATTTTTTAAAATGATAATGTGTCTGAATTTTTGATAGAATATATAAATAGCACGTTTGGAAGTCCTGATAGTTCGTTGTTTTAAACGTTGATTTAAATTATTGTAAAGTGTTTCTACCACAATTTCTGCAACCTTTTAGTCCAAGAAATCCTCAAGCACTGCACGTTATTTAAGTGTTTTTTACATAGCCTTTTTTTATCTCTGTACATTTGCATGTTGGTATGCATGTGCACAACATGCACACATGTGTATATGTGTGTATATACACTGATGTGTGATATTATTAGTTATGTAATGTTGCTATCACAACTGATATCTTCTTGTATCACTTATCTCTGTCTATCGATACATCTTTGTGTGAGATGTTTCAAGCTCACTACTGCTACACTTCTTTTCCGCTTTGTTCAGTGTGTTTTAGTAAGGAAGCTTGAAAATATTTCTTACTTGTAATTGAACTTTAGTTCAGAGTCATTCGAAATGAATTATCAATTCTTACTGTATTAGATTGTAACGGCAGCAATTATTGGGATCATAACAGTAGTAATGATGGTGAGTCTTGTTTCCTTTGCATGAATAAATGGTTCTTGTTTTACTTGATGATAATGTTAATAATAGTGATGACAACATGCGGCCTATCACTCTTTTATATGACAATAGTTCTATTTCTGATCATTGTGATGACGAGCAACTCTGTAATTTCAAGATGTGATGGTAATTTTTCGTGCGTGGACCAAAATAGCTGAGACTTTTAGTTTCATGATATGTTTATTTTCTCTAGTTATTATGGAATTAATTTTTTCTGCCTCTTGTTATGTAGGCGTGATAGTGATCATGGATATGTTTTACGCAGTAGTATTATTCGTCATAAATCATGTAGCCATTAAGTTGTTCATTTAAACTATAGTAATTGTACTAATTTGCGATGGTAAGAGGAGTATTGTTGCTTATATGGTTGTTATGATGATGATGTGTTACTAATACACAGAATTGCAAGTCTTAAATGGTGTCAGTGATGAAGATGACAATGATATCGATAATGATGGCAAGTTTCGGCCTTCGCTTTTTTTACTAACAATTCGTTCAACAATTCTACCGCGGCTGCCTACCCATTCAAATCATACATTCACTCACACGTACGCGCACAAACACCGATACATGTAAACATCAGGCAGATATTAAGACTTCAAGCAGCCAGTCTACTTCTAGTTTGTGTGTGCTGCTCATGAGTGTTTGGTTAGGAGTATAATAAACTTTTTGCAACTGTTTTCAGCATTGTATATGATTATGATATTGTGAGGGAATGCCTGAAGCACTTGATTAACTTCTAGACGTATACGAACTCGTGTAGGTTTACGTAAATTTCTTACATTGAAAGAAAAATAAGTGGATGTAATTTTTTATTTTTGATTTACATAAAAGGTACTTTTTAACCATGTGTTCGTGCACACAACATTACGCAATCATTTCATTCATGCATTTCGTTGAATTCATAAACATTCTCCTTTTTTCAAGTATTTCAGCACAATAAGACTTGAAAGTCAATTTCATACTCTCATAGACAAGTGAGCTGCATTCATTCCTTTGTCTCTCGCTAATAAAGAAAAGTGGAAAGTCGTATTGGCGTAATATTTTCGTGTTCATAACACTGATTCTTGTGAAGTTACTTACTCTTTCACGTGTCAAAGTTATTATAATATTTTTCAAATGCGGAGAATAAGTATTGTCGGAGAGGAATTTGTACAGTTGTGTCCTCACGTTGCTTGTTAAATGCATGCTTTGGGAATTGTTCGTTTTGATGAAATCATCTCGAAAGCAAATCTTTGCGAGCAACATTTCTGTTCTCATTTGCTTCACTTCTCAGTAATATTTTCTGTCTGAAGCAGAAATTCCCATGTCGTTGCTAATCTTCCAATTTTGTATTTCTGTTGCAATGTTGATCTAAGCAAATATTTTCATAGATAATTCAGTATTTTATCCAAAGTGAAGTGTTTGTTCAAGTATAAGTAAATAAGGAGTCTTGTTCTTTGACAAACGATTACAAATCGAAAACTAAGTTTATATAAAATAAATGCTACCAAAAGTAAGCATTGAAGTAATTATTCAATACATATTCTCTACACACTAATATATACGCATAAATTCATTTACTTTCCTGCAAAGGTAGCCGTAAATATTTTTCTTTTTTCATGTCGTACTTTTTGTCATTTAAATGTTTCTGAAGAGTAATCAGACTGATGCACTTTTACGGTAGTTATTATTTAAGTATGATTAGTTACTGTTTCCTCGAATTATTTGATTTAAACAATTTGTGACACTTGACAGTGACTAAACCTTTCTTATACAATAATTATTATTATTTGTTTGATTTGGGTTTTGTGTTGCTATTTTTTACAAAAAGTAGCAAAGTGCGAAACTTTCCAAATTTTGCCCTTTTATGTTTACATGAAAATTATTATTTAAACTCAAAATGCATTGTAAAGCAGAGAAAATGACTGCAAGAAACTCTATTACGCTTGTAGCTACTTCGATATGTTTGAAATTGCTGATTGTCGCGAAAAATTAGCAAAGATGTCATTTGCATAATTACTCATTTGTGCTAATCTGAACAGAAGAATAGTATTGCTAACGCTGGTGAGATTAGCGACTGCTGATAAGCATTTATTATGCGATCAGTAAGCTTAATCGATGATTAAAAAGAAGTTCAGGAATGATTTAATCGCGTAAATAAATAAGTAGAAAAAATGAAATTAAAATTAGTGAGAAGTGCGTGAAAGCTAGATTCTATGAAGTTGCTGACCATAAGCTTGAACAAACTTGCGTCTTTCGGGAATCAGATATGAAATTTGGAGATCGGTCATAAAGTGGGAGCAGCAGTGACTACTGCGTTGTATGGAGAACAGATGTCTGAGCTGAAGCTCAGCTAATCTGCTGTAGTTGAAGAGGCAGGCACCTGCTTGCCTAGAAAACAATTACACAATTGCTTGCCAAGTGTATTTGCAGAGCTTTCTAATGTTTCCAACTTATCCTCTCATTCCTTTCCATTCACATTCCGTTTCGTTTAATTTTATCTCAATCTTCATCATTTTTCACTCCAATTTCGCATCATCAAAATTTGACTTTTCCACGCAAAGCGATTAGTATTTATGATTACTAATCATAGTGTTATATAACGACATTATTGGTGGCATGTGTTGCTATTTTTGTGAGCAAAGTTGGATAAAGTTGATGAACTCGCGGGTTTATCTCCAATTTTGACACATTCTACTTATTCTCTGAGAAATAAAGTGCTAATTTCAAAATGAAAAAGTCAACAAACACTCCTTGTCAGTGACTGCAATATTCTCTAAATATTTCCTTTACTACCATTGTAACGATTACTTGTCACTAATACCACTGCACTTATTCTTTAAGCCATTTTGTTGTGACTGTTAACTATGATTGCCGCTGTCATTTACACAGTAATTAAATCTTACTTTATTTCTGTGAATATAAAAGGAATATTATAAGTATTATTATTATTAGTATTATTATTAATTATTTGTATATCTATTTATTGTTGTTACCGTTGATTATAATAGCTATTATAATACTGCCATTATGTTGATAACAGTCCATTCTCAGGAGGAATGAAAATTTAATACGTCAAACGATGTAATGTCTAGAGAGTAACTCTTCCATTCATGAATATTTTATAAAGGTAGATATGAATATCCAAGTATTTACATTTTGTATGTTATGCATTCATGCGTGTGAACCAGTGTTGTGACTGAACCAGTTCGAATTCCTTATTCATAATTAAAGAAAAGATGCATTTATGGAAACTGACGTGGAAAGGAGGATGAATTCAAAAGGATGATATGTAAGCAAATGCAAGATGAACTAGAGAAATGTCTGTCGACAAAAGTCATGTAAGAATTTATAAACGTGGTTGAATAATGCATTATGATTCAAGTATATTGTACGTGAGAAGTGGAACGTAGGGAAAAAATATCTTCCGAGGCGATTGATAAAAGTAAAAAATAATGCTATGAAAACAGTCGCAATTGCAATTTAACACTCTTTTTTTTGATACACATATTCATTCACATACTCATATGCACTACCATACGTACATGCAGCCATTTAAACATATGATTACAGAGACATATTCGTAGACATACATATACTCTGTTCGTCAAATGTTTCTTGCTGTAGAATGGCGTAGAAGCAAATTGATTTTGACTAAACAGTAATAGTTATTTCACAGGATTGTGTTGGGATTGTTAAAGGGAAGAAATAAGAAATATCTTGACCTTTCGCGAAATCAGATCAAAATGTCAGTCGAAATTATTTGCATTCTGCGGTCTTACTTTTTGACCCATTCTGATCTCTTTTGCAATTGATGTAAGCGTAATTTCTTACGTAAGTGCCAGTTATGAAACTTATATTAAAGTCCATTATGATTTGCAGGTTAGATTCAAGTTAATGCTTTGTGTGAGGTGAAGCATTTTGTATTTGCAAGTTTTTTTATCATTCTATTATGGAATAATCAATAATTATATGAGATAATCAACAATGAGATCATAAGATTATTCTCAAAGATAATTTTTCCGTAGAATAATGGATTATGTGCAAATTTTGGTTCATTAGCCTGAATTAATCTTTTGTTTATTAATTATTTTTAATATACTTTGTAATAGCTGTCCGTGTTTCAAACATCACATGTGGTTATTATGCAGTTGCTTGTCCTTTTTTTGCTAAATTTTTGGCTCTTTTGGTTCTCACAGTGTTTATTTTCCGTAGATACAGCGTGATTTTCTCAAGAACTTGCATGATTTCTATTTTCATTCAATCAGTATGGGTTTTTGACTTCTTAGCATAGTAATAAGAATTAATGCAGTGCATTTCTGATCAATTCTACAAAATTTATATAATTCTTTGATGTATCTTTTTAATTTAATCTCCTATTTATTAGCAAATAATTTGCTCATTGTGAATTTTACGCTTTTTTTAGAGTTTGTAAAATTACTTGTTTGGTTTTGATTGTAATTTATAATAAATATTGCTAAGCACAACAAGTTTTGAATTGATGCGATGTTTTCGATGCAAAGTCAGTTGGTTCGATGACTCAAACTTAGCAATAAACAAATGATAGCATTTTTTATAAATTATTCGTTGCTATAGATGCACAAATCATTTATGGTTTTGTTTTTTTCCTTCAGAAAGTAATGATATCTCTTAATTTGCTCGTAAGTTTCAACTCTTCGCTTCACTTTGGTCGTTGATTAAGTTATAAGTAATAAATTGATGTCATTCAAGTTTTTGTCAAAATTTTCGCTGCAAGTGAAAGTTTATAAAGTTTTTCGCTAGTATCAGAGTTCAGTCAAATCTAAATTCGTAATGAAATGCGACTATTTTCCTGGACTGAAATCATAATATTAAGTGTTTGCAAAAAAATATATTTTAGTGCTCGAAGCTTGATGTTTCTTTTTCTACGCGATAGAAGTAAAAGCAAAATTTGAACCATAAATAAGCTTTGATTTATTCAAATAAAAAGATATTAAAATTACACAATAAATGTTCTGATGTTATCTCTGCTTTGTATGAAGCATCTCTTCTTTTTTCATATTTCTTGCTCTCTCAAAATGAACTCCTACTTTTTAAATACTTCAGAATTTCTTAGATATTCCCGGTATCTCCCAGATGATCTATGGTTCCTGTTTCCTGTAAAGAGATTAAAACTATGAGTTAAGAAAAGGAGCAAAAATGTTTCGTATTTTGCAAGAACATTTTTGATTTCTGTCTTCAGTTTTCATTCTCCCTGTATATTTCGTTACTGAGCACAAAATTATTTGTTCTCCTCCACTTTTTCGTGCCCATCAATTTGTCCCAAATAATTTGCATATTTTGGAATGCTCATTGAATTTACGTCGGTAACACTCATCGCTTTTCAACTGCTTTTTGTTTTATTAGTGAAGGAATAGGCATGAGAGATAGAATATATTGTTAAACAATAACAAACTGCTGTGGGAAGTGAAATAATTCAAAAATCGAAAAAAGATACTTCTAAGACAGTTCAAAGGTTAGTATAAAAACTTATAAGATGTCTTAGATCAGAGTTGATTTTCTTTGCACTTGAATTCAAAATCAATATAATGATTTAATTTGCTAAATTACTTCAAATTCTATGCAGTTCAAAAATTCAAAAATCGGATAGCAAAAATTAATTTTAGCATATTTTTTGATGCTAAAAAATATGCATGATTGATGAGACCAATAGATAGATAGAATAATAAGTTCGGAATTTGAGTAAAACGAGAATTATTTTTGAAAGTAAAGATGCTTCATGTTGTGTGGTATTAACCGGTTTGCGCAAGGGGAAGGTGCATATACTTTTCTTCCTTTTTTCTGCTACTATTTCCTTTACTTTTTTATTCTGCAGAACTTTTTTGCGCAAAAATTTGTATTTGATATGTGTCTAATGCACATATGCATACATGCACTTACATGCGTTTTTAATCTGATTAAATATAATTGCTTCGATTGTTCGTTTTGCAAAAAAACAAAGTTTTTTTAAATCATGCTCTGTTTGGTGATAAATTTTTAGGGCGAAACGACCGGTGGCATCAGAAGATTGTATAAGTTGACATTAGATAACTTTTAAACCTTCTCATGACAAGTAACGTAACTTTAACCGCATCAGCACCAGTACCATCTGAACGCCGTTCTAAGCGACCCTCAACCCGACCTGCACTACAGATTTATCGTCCTCCTGGTTAATTGCTTGCACTTACTTACTTATTAATTAGGAAAGTAAATCTTATACGCATAAATTTGGAAATGATAAAAATTAAATTCAAAAATTCAACTTCAATGTAAGGTTTTAAAAATAAAAACAGTAATAATTGCGTTTTTGATAATTTATTAGTTTTACTTTTGTTTATCACAGTCAAGATTTGATTATTTCTGTCATGCAAACTTTTACGTAAAAAATACGAATGATTTTTTTAGAATTTCTTAAATTATATCTTGGGAACAGAACCACGAATTTTGCATAAATTTTTATATAAAATTATACTTTGTTTTCAGATTACAGTTTAATTTTATTTACTAAATTCTCTTTCCCTATTTTTTCTCTGATCGTAATTCACGTCATTAGCCTTTTTTCCGAAATTAGAATTTCGAGATTTAAAAAAAATTAAGAGTAATATTTTTGATTGCACCTTGTACTGCAGCTCATTTACTTTTCTTTTTTTGTTTTTTGGAAAGAAGAGTAAAATTTACCATTCTTAACTTGTGAGCAGTAGCAGGTAGCGATAGTGATGACTTTTGACAATACCTATAAATTTTTCATAATTTCGTGTTCTTACTCAAATTATTTTCGCATACTTTCAACGTCAACTTTGTTCAGTTCATTTTTGCAAATATTTTCAGGCAACCTTATCTTAATTATAATATTAAAAAGTTTCAATTGTTTTGCAAAAGTCTACCGTAATATATTGATATTAACAAAAGTATAATAATAAGATGAACATTATTAAATTAGGAAAAGTCATAAAATATAGAATGTTTTCCAAAATTTTTGACAAAGCGTATAACTTCTCATATTGCATCCTTCTTATTATAATATTTATGCCTGAGAAGGTCAAATGTCAGTACTTTCCAAATCAGATTCTTCAAGTCATCGTAACCAATTTGGATTAATGACTGAAAAACCGTTGTGCATCATAATGCTTGGTGAATATTTAAAAATGAAGTGTTTCAGTACGAAAGGGATGAAATAGTCGTCTGTTCTGGCTAAGTCTAAAATTTACTAGTGTAATTAATTCTCATTTAAGTACCTATATAATCATATTTAGATTAGATTAATCATCAACAGAGTGACGCAAAATGTTCAAAATAATTTTATCTGTCAAGCAACGGATTCTTTAAATTAGCTGGGAAAGGTGAAATTAGTTCGCAAGATCAGTTGTATTTGAATGACACGCGAACTAATATACTTAGCAACAAAAATTGTTAGACGTAAGTTTATCTAAAGTATTGATGACGATTTTCTTTTTTTAAAATGCATACTTGATGGTTTTGAAGTACTAGGATTACTAAATCAGTTCTGATTTAATAATCCTAGTAATTTTGGAAGCTTTAGCTGAGAATTAGCGTTAATTTTAATGCTTTGAACAGTGACACCAACTGGTACTGTACTGCGTGAAGGTCTAAATAAACAAAAGTGTTCAATTGGACCAAATTTCCAGCAGTTGCCGTCCTGTTATTCTTTGTCCTCCGATAACTACAACTGAAATCATTCACATTGATCTGATCGAAGATTTTTACACTTAAAAACAACATTTGTTATCGTCTGGTGGACTATTTAACTTACAGACTAAAATAATCTAAATCAAAAACTTGAAAATGTCATGACTGAAAGACTTCTTCATGCGAAACGCACTGATATCTAGTATCATAGTGAAATAATAATAGTAATATTTTCAAAACTTTATCAAGCTTTGGTTTAAAAAAACCAAATTATTATTACATGTTGAAGAGGATGAAATCAGCACATTTGGAAGTGCTAATTTTTGCAGACATTAATAATTTTTTAGGAAATTTGATAAAAAGAAGTAAATTTGATCAAGAAGTTGTTGTTATGAAAAATGTTATAAAATGATTAAAATCAGAAGTAAGTTATTAATATTAATGACTTCAAATTTGCCACTTTCGTTCCATTTTTGTTGTTTTCTGCTCTAGTACCGATTTACAACAGAAACAAGTTTTTATATCGTTTTTTGCAGGTAACTGAAGTAGATATTCTCAGCTTTTGAGATGATTTCATAGTATCAAAACTTAGTATAGAATTATGAATTAGTGAATATTAATAAAGGTGGAAAAATGAAATGGAAAAAAGATGATTACAGGACTCAGAAGTACTGACGAAATTATAACGAACACGAAACCGAGTCCAACTGCCGGTGCAAAGCAGTTGAAAAAAGATATTGTTAAGAAGCACTGTGAAGGTAGGTAGAAGAATTAAATGTGAATATTTGCCAGAATTTTCATTGAGAAAAAGCTTTACTACCATTTGTTTCATGAAAAAGTTCATAAATTTGCTTCATTTTAAGGATTTTATTCAGTGAAATTTGCGTCTTTACTACAGTTTCCTTATGTATGCATGGCATAATATCACTTAAAGAAGTTTGTGTGCTTTCTGCTATTCGTCTAATTTCTGATAATTATATGGAGTTCTTATCTTTTCAAATGTTCTCGAAATTTACTAGTAAAGTATAAAACAAATGGTAACAAAAATTATACTTACCTGTCCTTACCTGATCAGCAGTAATTTACAGTCATAGTTACTACTATTACTTTTAAAATGGCTATCACTGTCATAAATCTCTGTAGTGCAGTTGAATCAGTTGAAAAATGAAGAATGCTGGAACAAATATTATGCATATTTGTTATTAATTACGTATGAAAGCGGTTCATACTTGTCACTATGGTTATTGCTTTTTAATGCACCGAAAATCGTTTCTGTTAGCCATTCTGCTGCTGTAAGCATTACAGCGTTTCAACTGTTATATTAGTTCAAGTTATCAGTACTTGACCATTTTTCATCGTAATAATGTCGCAGCTATGATAATTAGTATTTTAGATGCAATTTTATGTGCTCAGTTATATATCACTTCAATTGATTCATTTAATTAGTCAATTCATTTAGTTTATAAAGCATTTATTAAGTTGTGTAAATGGAAATTACTCATCCAAAATATTATTGAAGCAATGAGTGATATTCAAAAAATGATAATGATTTTAAATATCGCAATAATATTATACTTTAATTGAGACTTAATAATCATTTTGTCTAATTAGCGCAACCTGTCATTATTGGTTCAGAAAAAAGGTTTTAATAAAAGCTTCACCAGAAAATTAAGCTTTGAAAGGTTTGTAGGTTTGTTTCAAAGTTATTTCTTTTGATAATCACAGAAACAAGCAGTGCGAATTTATGTTTTTAATTATATAGCAGTTCTTACTATCATCATGCTATTGATTGCTGTTTCAGAAAATAATAATGATAATAATGATAACAGTCATAACGAATCGAGTAAGTGTGCGAATGCATTTAATGGATGTACACGCAGAAACGCAGATGTAAGCGTAGCAAATGACGATAAAGCTGCATTGCAACGTACTGAAAGCGCTTTGAGTAGTGAGTCCACAACTTCATCTCAGGTTTTAGTAATTGATTATTTGATTTAAATTGTTCATTTTAAGTACTTTTTTCATAATTAATGATGGTATTAGTTATACTACATATTTTAATCTTGATATTATTTCCATAATTGCCAGTGATAATGCGCGGTTATTGGAAAATTTTCTGCCATTCACAGAAGCTCCATGAAATAATAATTCACCAGTAATCAAAGTTTATAATAAGCATTCAAATAATTCATTATGTCAGGTTATTACTCTTGATTGACTAGGTGTAGCTTTATTTAATGGTGAAAATAAATTAAAAGCTCTAACAAGTGCTTAAATTTCCCACATTTTAATCATGATTTAATTTTTTTACACAATTTTCTGGAATAAATTCTCAAAAATAGAATTAGGATTACTTTGATCGTTTTTTATTGATCAAAAGTGATGATCTCATATTGACAAATTTTTGCAATTTAAATAATTAATTAATTAATGCAGTGAAACACTAAAAGGGGATTTTATGATAAAAAACAACAATTCTGCGATCTTATTAATTAAAAAAAATGATTTATGCAAAATCAGGCATCGACGAAGTCTCCGAATTCTTCATCAAGTGGACAGATTATTCAGCGCGGTGAAAATATCTCACCTCCTCTTTTCTCAAATCTGAATACCTCTCAAAACCACCAAAAAATAACTGTTCCCAAGCAGCATTTAAAGAGATGTTCTGGTGGAAGCACGCGAAATTCATCAGTCGTCCCACGGATAGATACATCCTCGGGAATCACTGTCAGCACGGGGGGAAGTAGTGATAAGTCGGGTAGTGAACGTAGCACGCCAATCCACAAACTGTCGATTGTGGGCAAGGAACAGCACAGTGCTAGTAAGAAAAAACAACTTAACGGAAAGGAAATTGAGGAACTTGCCAGTAGCCTCAGAAAATTAAATTTAACCAAGGAAAATTCACTTGTGGAACAGTTTATTACAAGTAAGTATTGCTTGAATGCTATTTTTCACGTACTATCAAATGAGCGTTTACATGACCTAATTAGGTCATGTAAACGCTCATTTGATTGTGAATATGGATCGTAAATCCGACCTATGACTTCTGTTTGCTACTTTATTTTTATAAATAGCTAAAATTAATGGTATGTCTTTTCTTTGATTGAATTTATCCAATTTTGGCGAAAAATTGTTTAGTATTCATTATTTTTGTGCATCACATGAAGTACTGCAAATTGAAATTACTTTTCAGCAAGAACTTTTCGAGCATTTTGTATTTTTGTTGCAAAAAAAGAAAAGTAACTTTATTGCAGAAATGATTATGAACTTGCTTGTTTTCATTTGCATGATAATTTTTTAGTGAGTGTGATTAAAGTTGAACTTATTAAATTGCAATCAGAAATGATTTATTCACTAAATGGTTTATTTTGATTTAAATAATTGTGAGTGCCATTAATTATAAAAGTGTTTTTGTTACGATAAAACTGCTAATTGCATTTAATAATATTATTTATATCGTTTAATTTTTTTACCCAAAATTTAATATATGAAATGAAATAATAATATGTATCAGGGATTGAACTGCGTTAGAGTACGACGTTTTTTTTTGATTTAATAATTTTCTATAACAGATGCATAATGAAATGTGCATTATTGGAATATAATTTTGAATTAACTTAATTTAATGCACAAAATAATTGAATATAAATAGTTATTTAGCATAATAAGGTGTAACTGTAATTTACTTCCGTTTACAAATGATATACTTATTTTTTGAAACGTAATTTTTTGATGGTTCATCAACCAC